TAGTATGGGCAGCATTAATTGCATTGCTCAACTAATATGCATTACACCTGAAATGGGGGGGATCACTCTTGATGGCATGGAGACTATGGGTATAGTAGTTTACTTTTCAGGCCCATTCAGTCCTTGGCTTCTCTACTAACAGTGGTCCCCATTGTTTTGGTGCTCTTTGTAATGTGGACCTGTGCATCAGAAATTGCACTAAGATAATTTCCTATGGATCACCAAAGACCCTTCAGGAATGACTTTTAGGAGTTGGAAAAAAATTCAAAAGCACCTAAAATGACTTACAAGCATAGGTTCCATTTTCTAAAATGGCTTAGACACTTGGGGCCAGATTTGAATGGTATTTAGGCATCTAACAAGCATATAGGTATCTAATGGGATTTTCCAAAGGACTTAAGCATCTAATTCCCATTGAAATCAAGTTTGAAGGGTCTGCATTGTTCCAATACTAGGATCATTGCAGATACAAAAATGGTGTGACACAGGGTGCTAAATTTCTTGAGACTCATTTTAAAATTAATTTTAACAGAAACAAATTAATGCATTTACTTGTAAAGACTCAGAAGATTCATCGTGTGCCTTAAGTGTTGTAATTTTTGGGAGGATACGCTGTATTCTTCATGCATAATGAAGAAATAAATAGGAGTTAGGTGTCTAGGCACTTTGGAAAATACCATTAGGTATCTATCTGCATTTTTAGGCACCAAAATATCTTTAAATATCTGGCCCTTAAGAACCTAGCTTTCATTGAAAGTCAATGGGATTAGGCCCTGTCAAGGTTCCTCCCCCACTCTGAACTCTAGGGTACAGATGTGGGGACCTGCATGAAAAACCTCCTAAGCTTATCTTTACCAGCTTAGGTCAAAACTTCCCCAAGGTACAAAATATTACACTCGTTATCCTTGGACTGGCCGCTACCACCACCAAACTAATACTGGTTACTGGGGAAGAGCTGTTTGGACGCGTCTTTCCCCCCAAAATACTTCCCAAAACCTTGCACCCCACTTCCTGGACAAGGTTTGGTAAAAAGCCTCACCAATTTGCCTAGGTGACTACAGACCCAGACCCTTGGATCTTAAGAACAATGAACAATCCTCCCAACACTTGCACCCCCCCTTTCCTGGGAAATGTTGGATAAAAAGCCTCACCAATTTGCATAGGTGACCACAGACCCAAACCCTTGGATCTGAGAACAATGAAAAAGCATTCAGTTTTTTACAAGAAGACTTTTAATAAAAATAGAAGTAAATAGAAATAAAGAAATCCCCCCTGTAAAATCAGGATGGTAGATATCTTACAGGGTAATTAGATTCAAAAACATAGAGAACCTCTCTAGGCAAAACCTTAAGTTACAAAAAAGATACACAGACAGAAATAGTTATTCTATTCAGCACAATTCTTTTCTCAGCCATTTAAAGAAATCATAATCTAACACATACCTAGCTAGATTACTTACTAAAAGTTCTAAGACTCCATTCCTGTTCTGTCCCTGGCAAGAGCAGCATACAGACAGACCCAGACCCTTTGTTTCTCTCCCTCCTCCCAGCTTTTGAAAGTATCTTGTCTCCTCATTGGTCATTTTGGTCAGGTGCCAGCGAGGTTACCTTTAGCTTCTTAACCCTTTACAGGTGAGAGGAGCTTTCCCCTGGCCAGGAGGGATTTCAAAGGGGTTTACCCTTCCCTTTATATTTATGACAGGCCCCTATGGGCTAGATTCACAGAGGGAGTTAGGCATCTAATTGCCATTTTAGGCACCTAAATCCCAGAGTAAGGCACCACTGGTATTCACAAAACTGGGCTCAGCTTCCACCGTTCCCTGTAGGGGTCTAAACTTACTCAGCAGTAAATGTCCTTACATGCTTATGTGTCTGCCTCTGAGCATGTGCACTGCAGCCTCACTCTAGGCTTCAGGATGCCAAAGCCCCAGTGCAATTCACAAACCAGAGGAAGATAGGTGTTCCTCCATCTAACCTGCCTGCAGGGCCCGATTTTGTAGGTGAGCTCAGAGTGTGCCTAATTCCACACAAAATAGCTGGGTGGGGAGGACCTCCCTCATATCTTTTGGCCCAGAGGTTAGAGTCCTCACTTGGGCAGTGGGAGATCCCCCACCCCCACCTCAAGACCACCCTTGCCTAAGAGAGAGAAGGGATTGGAACAGAGATCTGTTACCTCTCTGGTGAGTGCTTTAACCACTGGGCTGTGGGATATTGTGTGTGTGGGGGGGCTTCCTCAATTTCTCCTGTTGAAGCTGTTCCACTGTGGCTAAATAAAGAGTCATTGGGCCAAAGAGAGTTAGAGCGCAAACCTGCACAAGAATGACTTTGTAGTCCTGCTGGTTACAGCACTCACCTGGGATATGGGAGAACCAGGATCCAGTTCCCCTGTGCCAATGACTCTTTAATTAGTTTTCCACAGTGGAACTGCTTCTACAGGAGAGACTGAGGTAGTTCTACCTCAGAATATCCCACAACTCAGTGAGTAGGGCACTTATTGGAGAGGTAGCAGATCTCCATTCAAATCCTCTCTCTCCCTCAGACAACGGGAGGACTACAGGGTCTCCCACATCTCAGATGGGTACCCTCACCACTGGACTAAAAAGGGGGGAGCTGCTGCTTGCCAGAAATACCGTAGGTGCTTCTCTCCAGAAGTGGGTTCATAGCTAAGAAGGCCATGCAGAGATAGACACTGAACTCCTGGAGAAGGGTGGGGCTTACGGCGCATCCCTCCCATTGGCTAGTGTAGGCAGGGAGACACCTAGCATACGGCTTTTGTGAATCACGTTCTTAGGCACCTATCTTCCTCCATTCATTGCCTAGAAAGGCTGAGCACTCAACCTAGGCTTTGTGAATCCCAATGATTTTCTATGTACCTAAAAGTTAAGTGTGGCAACGCTGAGTGTCGCAACACCTAGATTCCAGTGTGCATCTAGCCCTAAGTCACTTTTGAAAAATGGGAGTTAGGCTCCTCAGTCACATAGGCACTTTTGAAAATGCAATCCTTTGCCTATATTGATAATTCACTTTGTAGTCAGCCACTAATGTTCAAGCCCCAAGTGTGGACAAGAAAAACCCCAATTTGCACTGATAGAGCTTACCATTACCAGTTTAAGTCTGGTTAAGGTAACACAAGTAAAAAGCTTCCAAGTCCATTACTAATCCCCTGAGCAATTCTGTTTACTATATGTGTACAAGTGTATTATTAGATTGCTCTTCATTTTTACAGGCAACACTGGTTGCTTTAAAAGACTTTTTTAAAGCATGTGTTGAATCCATCTCCTCTCTGTAGCTTCCAACAATCAAGGGTCAGGTTCTGCTTAGAGCTGTGTGTCGCAATGCCTGGTTACCTTCAGAGCTGTTTATTTCAACTCTGTGTCAAAGGTTTTGATTCCACTGTCAGCCGTAAAGCAATTAATCCAGAATGCAACACAAATGGAAAGTGCTCCAAACCAAAATCTTTTTAAATAAGATGCAAACTAGGGCTGCTCCTGCAAAGAGCACAAGATGTTTAATACATAATCATTAAAGATCAAATGCTACCTTCTGTTACATGGTGCACTGGGGGGCTTGCACTGTTTCACTAAGTCTATGACTACACTTACCGCAGGCACTACAGGTGTAGCTACACAGCACAGTGAAAGGCTCCGGTAACGCCCTTTCCCTGCTGCCTCAGTCTTTCACTGCAGTGGGGAAAGTCTCTGCCAGCAGGGAGGGAGTAGGACACAAACCTCCTACAAATAGCATGTGGCCATGAGAGGCACTGTTTGGGTGAGTAGAGAGCTGTGTAGGGTATATAGCCTGGGGGTCAGGCATGCAGAGCACCCTACTTACCTAAGCTGTGTCTCACTGTTTACACTGCTATTTGTACCCATGCTATGACTGAACTTGGCCCTAGGCATTCAGTTTGGTCAGGTTTTATGGTTACAGCTTGAACAATATATAAAAGCAATTAGATTCCATGCACCCCCCATCACCACAATGGGAGAGGAAACTAGCAGCCAGTACATTTTTTTTATTAAAAATACTAGTTGGTTTGTTGGGTAAAGGAAGGAGGTGAACTCTTAAAGTACTCTACCACCTAATCTGGTAAACTGGTTTGTGTAGTTCTGTAGCATTGTTAGTAAACTATTTTATAGTACCTTACTATGGAGTGCAGATAATGCTCTGATGAAATGAATACCAGGAGCCTTTGGTTGCTCCTAATCTGTGTCCATAATAACATCCTCTCATTCATTTTATTTGTTTTAGTGATGACACTCCAAATGTACTGATAATTGCATGAGCCCTGTTCCTAGAGTAAATAAGTCTGAAATGTTCTTGGACTCATATTGTGCACTAACTTCCTTTGTTTAAATTCCTTAGACAACGTCCATCACTGTCTGGCACTATTGACTTTTATACACAATGACAGCTTGGCAGTGTGATTCTAAGAGGCTAGTGGGTTTAAAAACACTGAACATATTAAAATATATTTGTGTTTTAGACACTACAAGTACAGACCAGTCATGGTTACTAACAGTGTTATCCACTTTCTCTTTAGTCAATGAAGTATAGAGGTAACCACTCCCCTATGTCTTGTACTAAAGCAACGTATTAATATACTTAATGAAAGATTAAAGACAGGAAATGTAAAATATACTGTCCCTACACCAATGTTATCTGATCCATTAGTTTTGCTATGTATGCTAGATCCATTAATGTATAGTAGACGAATTAGTTTTAAGGTATACTGGATCCATGTATAGTGTACACTAGGTCCTTTCCTTTTTACCAGTCATCAATTTTCTCCTGTTTTTGATTTTGAGAGAGTTTTTTGGAATCATTTTGCCACGTGTATGCTGTGAGTCTGTTGTGTGTGGTCCAGTGAAGCAATTACAATTCTCATTTCACTGGTCCCAACAGCAGCCTGGCATCATCAGTACCTATTCTGGGCTCCCTAGTCAGCCTGAACAGAAGAGTGGCAGTGATGGAGCTAACGCTGGGTGAATAATGAAAAAAGAGTAGTCACTGCATAATTTATTTGAAAAATATCCTGACATTTGTCAAGTGAATCATTCAACTAATATCATTCAATCAGCTGCTGCTATCACAGAGAATGCGAGGATTCATTAGCTTTGATTAAGTATATTCAGGACTATGTCAATGCTAAGTTTCAAAGTGTTGTTTATTCTCTGACATTTCTCCCCCACTCCACCCTATTTGGTCAGAAGTGTCTAAAAGGGCTTAACTGAAAAATAAAATCACCCTGGGGAACAAAGTAAAGGTCAATCCTGCAAACACTTATGCATGATCTTAACTTTACTCATGTGAGCAGCCCCACTGAAGTCACTGGGAGGACTTATGCGAGTTAAGTTAAGCACATGTGTAAGTGTCTGCTTGCTCCTGCCAAAGGCATGGAAGATGTTCAGCCTCAAAAATAAATAAAGAAGCAAATAGGAAAAAAAAATAATAATAAAAGAGGGGAAAAAAGGAATGGGGAAAAAAATGTGACATGTGTTACCTTAAACATAGCAAGCACTGGGAAACACCCTCTGTAGTATAAGAGTCAGATCTGGTTCTTTCAAATCGTTATCTTATTGACCTTCTGTAGTCAACATGTCAAGCCGGGATTTATGATTGCCTTTCCCTATGGCTGATGATTGTTTTACTTGTGGAAATGAAGAATTGGATTTTAAACAGCATAAGACTCAGAATAAAGAAATGAGTCAATGCCTGAGGAACCCAATTCAATCCACTGTCTCAGTAAAGGGTACTCCCTTATCCCAGATCAAGTCAGAGGAGAACACAGATGCCACACCCCCAAACAAAAGTGGAAATGAAAAATACACAAATAGTATTTAACCAATGCATGCAACCCCCCCCCACGTGACCATTTCATAGAGCTCATTAAATCTATACATGGCAGCATGATAAATACTCATTCAATCTACAGTCTGGAAGTCATCTGTGTTTTATTCATCTCTATATTAGCATCCCAACCGCATCTGATCTTCTGGATCTTCTTCCTAAGGCATGGGAGAAGCAGGACGCTTTTACAAAGCAGGACTATAATAGGAAGAAAAATGGCGATCATAAATGTAGGGGGGGTGTACCACACGAATTGGTTTACGTCAACCCATTTATTCCAGGCAAATACCAATGCGTGAACTGTGCATAGCAGCAAAGCTAAATACCCCATCTTGCTCTGGAAAGAGAAAAGAACACAAGTTTATTTTTTTCCCCAATAACAGTAAAAAATGTACGTTATTAGGCAGACGTCGTAAGCACCAAGGGCTTGATGCATAACCCACAAATGTCACTGGGCTTTTGATCAGATCAAAGATCATTAATTCAGTAACTAAGGGGCTCAATCCTACACCCATCAAAGTAGTGGCAAAATTCTCTTTGACCTTAATGGGAGAAAGATTGGGCACATTTTTGCAACTTTTCCATGTAGCAGCAGTATAAATGAGATGTCAAGAGAGATGGGTGGTCTATGGTGCTACATACAAATCGTACTTTCCTCAGAAGACATAAGTTCATTCTTGATATCAGCTCAGTTTCCCCACATGCCATTTTTATCCTGCATTAGCAGGAGGATGGTTGTGACTTGATGCTTTGTTAGGCCTTTTCTACCCTTATTTCTATAAGAACAAAGATAGATTTTTTTTTTAAATTTCTTGCAAAGCAAATTATTACAATCAGGAACTTCTGATGTTCCACGCAATAAAACAACAACAACCCCATTTAATAACTGTGGAAGAGCACGGTGCTGCCTTCCTCATACAGAAATAACTCCCCCTGACGTCACTGGATTTGATTTCGGATGCTCAGGGAATTCAGGATCGGGCCCTAAGAGAAAAAAGTACTAGTAGCACCACTGAATTTGAATTTTCCGTGAAAACAAAAATTGTTTTTTTTTTTATTTAACTGTTCATAGTAATCACTGGGAAATCATACACTGCACTTTCATGTTCTAGCTATCCCTCCACATAATCAGATTGATGCATTATTTGTTTACAAAACTAATCTAGCATATTAGTGTTATTCTTCTGGTTAGATGGGCTTCTTTACCTTGCTGCTGGTATGGGCTGGGCGACACCTAGATGAAGAAGAAGATGGGCATAACTGCTGCCCTTTCATTTAGGACAGCATAAGAAGCTATTGAGCTCCTCTAGAGAACCAGGATGCTGAAACACTAGGCGCATTACTCAAAAGAATGGCAGACGCAAGACAGGTCAGAAACAGAGCCACATAGGTGAAGGGGTTTCACTGGGTATTGTTTTAGTGGAGATGTGCGTGTCTGTGATAAAAGCAGGAGGGAAGGAAAAACACCACAGAAGCTGAGATACAAGCAGTAGCAGGCCAAGGGCACAGTCAGAACCAGCACTGGGAATGTGTCCCTGAGACAGCTTTTGGGCTAAGTGCTGGCTGGAACTGAGAGAAACGAAACTGTCTTGTGCTATTTGATTCCTGCTGTGTTCAGGGAAACAGGACTTTATGACAGGTTTTTCTTTGGAAATTAACAGAATTTTATCAGAGAAACACTGAAGTATCAGCTATTTCTCCTCTACTGAAACAACCCTCTAGATCCTGAATCTTGGCTTACTGGTTGGGTCAAAAAGGGATAACAGTACTTTAATATGAATAACCAAAATTGTGAAGTAAAGGCCCCTTCTGACTACCTTTCCCCAGCTACTCTCTATACACCTGAGAATTTTCCCCACAACTGATTGCATCTCAAGTTACAGTATATATGATCCCCCATCACTGCACTGTCAGGAGATACTCATTGATGACCTAATGCAGAGTGCTTAATAGGTAATCAAACGTTCGTGTTTAGGTGCTCAGGGTCTGATTCATCACTCTGCTAAACCAGTTTTACACTGGTATAACCTCAGTGACTTCAGGGGTGTCTTTTTAAATTAATGCTAATGTAAGTTAGAGGAAAACCCCAGCCCCTCAAACTGATGTTTAGGTGGCTGAAGCAAGCACATGTGGATGCTGAGCTTGGTACATATGTAAGATTGATTAGCTGTACCTATGGGCAGAATTTGACCCCTAACTTTTCAACAAGATACCTTTGCTTTGAATACACCTTTTTTGCTGGAGAGGGAGAGTGAAAGCCTATGTTTATGGTAAGGCTTACCTGATCCTTGCCCTCCCTTCCGTCTGCTTTGTGCTGCTGAGGCACATCAAGGCATATCTGGGCCAGTAGGAATGGGCCAAGGTATTACTGAAATGCCTTTTATGGCAATGATAGTTGGCCAGTGGAATGATCCCCAAGTGACCATCACTGTCAGTGGCAAGCCCCTAGATTAGTGGAGCCTTTCCCCCTACATTGTCTCCTATATTGAACACAAATTGGCTTGGTCCCAAGGATCTGGCCTTAATGGTTTGATATAGGATGTGGTAGTACAAATGCCTCTCTGCTGCCCTGCCAACATAGCGTGATCCTGTTCTGGACTCAAAATAATCTCATGTTAACACCCGTCTAATACTTGGTTTTATGATCAAGCCTCCAACAAAGGTGCAAATTGTTGGGGTGTTTTTTGTGATGGACTGCACTGAGCCCACAGTCTCATTTCTCATGCAGTAGGCCATGGAACAGCCGTCTGACTTTTTAGAACCAAGAATATCAAGTTGGTGACACCAGAACTAGTGCCTTACAGGTGTGGGGATACTCCTTGTCATTAACAATCTCTAATCTTCAACAACATTTTAGCCTACCAATATGTCAATCTTTTTTTTCCAAGTAACAAATAAAGTAGAATGTTTGTTACAAAGCAATTGGCAAAGGACACTGAGTAAACTTTCAGACTGGTTTCCATGAGCACTGTGATGTTCTGATATTTTAAAGAAAGGCTATTACTGCTGATCTTAATTTATAACATAAAATCCTCCAAGAGCACACAGATCACATGCACTGTTTATGTGTACCTGAATACAGTGGAACTCTCTCCAGGTCAAAGAATGGCTGACAGATGGAACTGATGTTACTGCCAGTATGGTCAGCAGAGCTAGTCCCAGAATTCCTAGAGACACATAAATCTCCATTCTCCAGACATCATGTTCAATCCAGGCATTTTCCTTTTTTTGCTTGACCTGCCAAAAGAACATCACATTTAAAGTGACAGACTGACACAGGACCTTGCTGTTTCCAAGAATTGTAGTTATTTACATTAGAGTCATTTAGCCATAAGTCAATACTGGGCTTTGTTTTCACTCCCTTTCCTTTGCTTTTGCCCTACAAATGGGAACGCAGCCAAATCTCTGCATTTAACTCTTAGGTTATTTACTTCTGATGACAAAGTTTGCATCAGTCTATTCTGAAGGAAAATCACCTAGATTGAGAAGTGTTTACTGAATTGAGCAACGCCTTGACCCAGAGGAGACTTGTCCTGCAGCCTTTGTAACCTGACTTCATAGGAGGAGAATCTTTATTCTTTCACAATCAAAATTCCACCTATTGCTAAATACCATATTTGGAAGATTCTAACAGGAAATATATTGACCTGGACTATTTTAAGGGGCTAATCAGCAGGCATTCTCAATTACTTTGTTATCCTGCCAGGATAGCTATTTAGCTCTAAAAATTACACTCGGCCCATTGAGTTGCCCTGAAAACAATGATCTGTACAGAGGAATGGATTAGACTTCAGAGGACCTTGATTCTCCAGGTTGTTCTAATTTATGGCTGCCTGCAACAGCCCTGAAGAGGCCATTGCATCAGGTAGGGATCATCACAATGCAGTGTGCTCCAGTCACAGTCATTCTGCCCTGACATGGCGCCAGGACACTCTCTATACCGGGGGCTGCGAGTGGCTTAGCAGCACTACAGTAACTGAGGATACTCTAATGCCAGGGAAATTCCCAGCAGGCCAGCTTTTTGTAAATTCTGGAGCAAAGTGCTTGTGCATGTGCCGAATTCTCAAGAAGCTGAAAACACCCCACCCTCTTTGAGTCACACACGTCTACGCTGTTCGCCAGCGGAAAGCTGAGATGGGACTTTAAGTCTAACACCACTTCACACTTATTTGTTATATATAGGACAATGGCAATTGGGATTAGTACCAGGAGCTGTGTAGATAGGAAGACAGTCAGATGAGGATCTCAAAGTACTTTACAAACAACTAATTACCTGTGAGGCAGGTATGATTGGAGCTGTTTTATGGAGGACTAATCTCAAACCCACACAGGGGAAGTGACTTGCTCAAGAGTTTGCAGATTCATTGGCAGAGCCAGGATTGACACCTGGAGGATGGGACTCTTATTTTCAGGCTTTAGCAATTAGATTCTGCTCTTTCACTTTAACATACCCCGGCCTGTTAAATGAAGCAATATATATTTTGTGGGTTAGCCCATAGGTTTTTAAACAAAGAGCTTTGTGGCGGCTGCTTCAGATTCAAATGAAAATCTTTCTCCTCACAGGCTTCTTTGCGAGAGTTGAGTAGATGTGAGATCAGGACTCTGTCAATAAAGAAGTTTTAGTTCAATATTTGGACCCAGTCATACCTGTTGGTACGCCCAGTTCAACAGCTTGTATCTGTAAGATCTCCTCATCGGGTAGCACAAGCTATAGCATGCATGCATTGAGGCAAAGAAAAAACTGAGAAGGCCAAGGTGCTTTCTTGATAACATCCAGCCATTCAGCCACTGTGGAAATCGTTTATACTTGGTCCCATAGTGGAGCTGGAAACCTGCAGCTAATATTCCTGGTAAATAAACCAGTGCCAGAAGGGTGATTGAAACCACTGGTAAAACTTTGTTTATGACCAGGATTGGAATTTTATAGAAAGTGTTTTCATTAGTAGTGACAAAAGGGTGGACGACATCTCTCAGAAAAGTATAGATAAATATTAGCAATGAGGCTACAGATGCTATCTTCAGTGGCAAGTGCCATTTGGGGAAGAGATCTTGCTTGCAGTATTGATCTGAAGGGTATTCGAACTCATCAAAATGACGTGTTTGATGTAAATGAAAAAACGCAACTGCTTCTTGGGTGTAGGTGACTTGCAAATCCGTATTCTGAAAAGGATAAAAAGAAGAAAAATGTGTCAAGTTTAAGAGATTAAAGAATCCATCAATCGTGTTAGACTCCTGCATTATTGCCCTTTCACCATACGTTTCCCTTACATTATACAAACAGTAACATAATAGTTATCAAAAACAAGACAGCTCAAACATGTGAGGTTTCACCTCTCAGATACTTAGGTACCTAGCTGATCTGTGCTGAGGCAATTTAAATCTAGATTTCTGGTTCCCTATTCATCCTCTAAGGTGGTTTCTGAATAGATTTTCATTCCAGGAAGTTAACTACCACAAGAGAAGATTTCATTATGACCTCTTCTGATAAGAGGGATAAATTTCAAGACACAGATTAATAATGTAACCCAAATAATGCACATGGCAATGGAAGCCAGAGTCTGTATAATTCAACATTCTAGTCAGCCAGTGATATTTTAACTGCATTTGCAGGAGAAATTGAAAATTTTTTGATTGATGGTACACAGACGGTAGAAACCAAAGAGCTAGGAGTGCACATCAGCCCACTCCACGCTCAAGTCCCCTCCTCCCTCACCAGATACACATAAGATCTAATAGTTTCCTGCCTCATTTCTCCCTTCACAAATGATGTGAAATTTGATCATCTCAACTACAAAATTGAAATTTCTTCTGCCAGGTAGGCATGGCTTGATTGACTTTCGTTGAAGTTGGTGGCAAAACTCTCATCAACTTTGGTGGGAGCAAAATTAGGCCAGAACTTCAACATAACACTATAGCATGCATTACAGTCAGTAAATTTAAAGACTGTCCTGTGGTTATTACTTCTTGGAGAGGGAAACAGATTAGAATTTATGTTTTCCTTTTATATCTATGCAATGATGGGATGCTGGTAGAAGTTTGTGTGGGGGTGGGAATTACATTTATTCTTCACAATCCAAAAGGAGTATCTCCCTTCATAATCCCATACAAATAAAATAAAGCCTCAAATAAGCAAGAAATGGTTCCATTTGAAGACATCTAACTTGTCTTATGTCCAGAACTCAGTGAAGAAGAGTCTCTGTACTAGATTTGGGAAAAAATAATTAGCGACAGTAATTTGGAAGTTCTAAATCTGCCTCACGTTAGGACATTGGAGGACTCCCAAACACAGGTGCCAATTTTCTTCTTTCTGGGTGGGTGGTTCACCCCTGCTCTGCCCAGAGGCCCTGCCCCCACTCTGCTCCTTCCCTCAAGGCCCCACTCTTGCTCTGTCTTTTCCAGCCTCCTCTCTGCCCCCTCCCACAAGCATACCCTGCCCTCATTCTGCCTCTTTCCACCCTGCTCTGCCCCCCTCCCTCCAGCACCTCTTGCTCACTGCCGAACAGCTGATCAGCAGCAGGTGCTGGGGGGAGGAGGCAGAGCAGGGGAGGAGGGGGCCCGCCAAGCAGCTGATTGGCGGGTGGCTGGTTGGTGGCTGAGCACCCACTAATTTATAGCCTGGGTGTTCCAGCCCCGAAGCACCCATGGAGTCAGTGCCTATGCTCCCAAAGCAGGTGCAGGGCTGTCATCCAGCATCATTCTCAAGAACAAGACTGCTCCATATGACAATGGTGCTGACACAAGTCAGATGGGAAATTTCAGAGAGGATGTGCGAAGCGGGGCAGCATGTAGCCCATTGGTAATTGGGTGCGAATCTACACTTCAAGCTGGGAGTGTAATTTCCAGCTCAAGGAGAAATACTTGTGCTAGCTATGATTGAGTAAGTACTCTAAAAATAGAATGTAGTCCCAGTGGCATGAGGGGTTGGTTGAGCAGCAGGTTACCTAGGGAGGTGGTAGAATCTCCTTCCTTAGAGGTTTTTAAGGTCAGGCTTGACAAAGCCCTGGCTGGGATGATTTAACTGGGAATTGGTCCTGCTTCGAGCAGGGGGTTGGACTAGATGACCTTCTGGGGTCCCTTCCAACCCTGATATTCTATGATTCTATGAAGGGTAGCCAGCTTGAGTATGCAACTGTCCAAGACCACAGCACAAAGTAGCTCCTCCTGCCACCACAGCTACACTCTATTTTTAGCATGCTAGCTCCATCAGAGCTAGCGAGGGTATGTCTCTTTGAGCTGGTAATTCCACCCCCAGCTCTAAGTGCAGGCATACCCTAAGGCTTTGTCTTCACGGACAGAACAGCATTTGGGTTTTTGACAGCGAGATAACAGGTGTACATAGTGATCTCGTTGTAAAATCCTAAGTGGAGACAAGATACTCGCAATGGTTACTGCGTGATAGTGAGGTGAGATCAGCCCTCCTCTGGGGTTTGACCTAGTTTACCTTATGCCTTGTCTCCAGTAGGTTTCACAGAAGGACAGCTAACATGCTAGTTATCCCACAGTAAAAGCACAGCTTGTCTGCCTCTGAAGACAGATTCCATTAGATGCGCTCAGGCGAGGGGTATCCCTACGCTGCAATCAGAGGTGTGACTGTAGCTCAGGTAGACATAACTGGGCTAGCTTTTATCTAGCTAGTATGGCTAAAAACAGAAGTGTAGATGTGGCAGTTCAGGGTTCAGCACGGGCTGTACAAGCCCGCTGGGGTCCTTGAGTACTTACTCCCATCACTAGCCCACGCCGCCACATCTACACTGATACTTTTAGCAATGACAGCATGAGTAAAGCTTGTGCGGCTACGTCTGCCTGAGCTGCAATCACACCTTGAATGGCAGTGCAGACATTCCGTAAGCAGAGGCACACTGAACTGGTGTAACATACATGCTGAGAGGACAGAAGGTGGGGTAAATTATATGCACTAAGACTCATCTGTGAACTTGGCCCAGAGGTTCTGACCTTTTGAAGAGGTAGTCTGAAAGGCCTAATTCAATATTCAATGATAAGAGATAGCTACCCTCAGAATAAGGCATTAGTTCTGTGACTCAGCACCTACTGAGGCTCTGGGGGATGGGCGGGCACAAGCCTGCCCACATCTAAAGGCCCCTCCCCCCAGCCAAAGAGGAGGAGCTACTTGTCCCAGGCCTCAAGCAGATTTGGTGGGGAAACAAATGAAAAAAACAGGCAAGGGAGTGAGGGTCACAGGGTTAAAAGCAGGGAGCCAGAGGTGGATACTGAGCAGAGAACCCTGGACCGTGCCCACTGCTTCTCGAAGTCATCCAGGGAGCTAGTGGACACGGCCCAGAGGAACTCTACCCAGAGACATGACTTTAGGGAGGTTCAGAAATAGGCCCCACAGTCGCAGAGCACCTCCCAGTCCAGCTTCCTCCTCCTGCAGAGGCAAATTTTTGCTGGAAAAGATTTTTTTTTTTGCTGGATTTTTCTTTTGGGGGCAGTGAGAAAGACAATGTTCATTGTGAGACAACTACTTTAAAAAGACTGTCTTTTAAAGACTGTCCTTTAAAGAAATTTAGGGATTTCTTACTGGAATAAAATGATTTCTACTGTGCTTTGTTCAGCTAATAGGGCACAACTCAAATCCCTCATGTAGCTCTGAACTGTGCTGCCACTCCAGTGGCCCAAACTGTGTATTTAAGCATGATCTCTGACTACACAGAATGAAATGTCTTTATCTTTTTATCTCTTCATGACAATATTGTTACAAGTCTTAAAGATGAGCTGATGAGATCCCCATGTTATGGAAACAGTTAATTCTCCAGAACAACCTAGGTGAGAGATCAAACATTTGCATGATGCATATGAGCTTTTTTTATATGTATGTTACCGAATTGTTATGGTTTCCCGTATTTCTCCCAGGCTCCGGTTTCTGACCTTCATCCTGATCCAGAGTGTTCTTGCTCTCCATTACAGAGGAACCCTGAAAAATAACTACAGGATGTAAGTCATCAAGTACTCAAATGCACTGCTGCAATTTTGTTGTTATTTTACTGAAATGCAGAAATGACCATAGTTTTCATTTGCCATATGTTTTCAGGACCATTTGCCTCCTATGGAAGTGACACACAGCCTGTGGCTTTAGAGTGGTACATGCTTCTTTGGGGCTCTCATGGCTCTAACAGGAGTCCCTTTCATTTTTTCCTGATCCTTGGCAGAATGAGGATCATGAGACCACTCAGTTCTGTCTGAGACATTAGAGGCAGCACAGGTAAAGCTAAGCAAGTTGAATGGACTTGCAAAGATCATGTCAATCCATAACAGTGAGGTTAAGGTGTGAGGAAGGGATAAAATGGAGAGAGATGAGGGCCTGCAGCACTATCCTCTTTTGATTTCAATGCTGCCATTCTAATCATCCTTTCTTGTACCAGTTCACACAGATTTCCAAGAGCACAATCTGGATCGGAAAGACAGATGGGCAAGTGATATTCATGCATTAAGACATGCAGCTCTTATTCTGATACTGCACATTCTAGAAATGAGAATCCCAACAATACCTGCCAGCTATTAAAGGCGTGTGATATTGTGGAGGATGTAGTGAAATTTACTGGTTTCAGAGTAGCAGCCGTGTTAGTCTGTATTTGCAAAAAGAAAAGGAGTACTTGTGGCACCTTAGAGACTAACAAATTTATTTGAGCATAAACTTTTGTGAGCTACAGCTCACTTCATCGGATGCATCTGATGAAGTGAGCTGTAGCTCACGAAAGCTTATGCTCAAATAAATTTGTTAGTCTCTAAGGTGCCACAAGTACTCCTTTTCTTTTTGAAATTTACTATGATGGCTATCAGCTGGGAAGACAGCTGTTGTTGCAAAAGTAACAATTAGAAGCCAATTTATCAGTTTTCTGGAAATGAAAACAATCCTAATAAGCAATACTGAAAAATAAACTGTGTGAGAATGAATGCATGTTCTCATCCAATGCAACACGTCTCAGCTGTGGAGCTGCATACAAAGAATCATTGGGGATGGGTCATGAAAGTGCACTTGTTTTCTTGAGCCAGAATTAACGAAATAAAATATCTGCTGAATGTCCAGTAATGAGATGTGGGTTAGGAGGGTCCATACTAGGAGACAATAATTCTACTCTATGGTAAATGCTAAATGAATTGGTAAGAAGCAGCCAACTCCAGTGCACCCACTGAGACAAAGAAAATTACATTTAAAAGCCCAGAGGTTGAGGAAATAGATAAATAGAATGATGGCTAAGTAGATCATAATTATTATTGTATGACAAAAGTATTGTAGTAACTGCTGTCCTCACTGCATGTCAGCTCAACTTCCCACCTTCTACAGTGAAGCAGTAAAACCATTTAAAACCATAAGGGACAAGCTCCTGCTGTGAATATAAGGTTTGCTGTCCACTTTAAGCTCAGCTGGTAAACCAAATGATAGTTTTCCTTCTGATGTGATCATTCCATTTTGTAACATGAAAGCTGACTCAGAATTATGCTAAATAAACAAACTAGGGTCCAAAATCTGCAGCCCTCACTCAGGGAAAGCTACCTGTGAAGTCAATGGGAGATTTTCTGGAGTAAGGACTGCAGGACTTGGCTCTGTGAAAAGAGAAATAATAAACATGATTAGAACCTACTGTGGGAGTTACATCTGAAAATCTGCTGTTATATTTGCAAAATTACAGCATAGGTTTCAAGAACCAAAAGTTTTTCTTTTAGAGAACTCTCTGCATTGTTTGGATATATGCAGTTTCTAAAAAAAAAAAAAAAAAAAAAGAACTTTCCACATTTGCATTTAGCAAAGCTTTTGTTCTGAACTTTGTGGAAGATCTAGTGAGAAATACACAGTATTTGGAATAGTTAAGGTATTGTTCAGCGTTTCCGCTACAGTCAGAATGGGATTAGATCTCCAGGTTTTGAGACACTGTCCCTAAAATTAAAGCGACCCAGGTGAGGATGTAGGACAATCTGTGAACAAGCATTTCACTTTGTTCTTCACAGAAACAGTCTAAAATCTGTTCCAATCAGCCAACGCAGCGGGGTGGAAAAGTCAGACTGTCAGGCACAGGAAATATGAATGAGCTGCTGTTTACTGCAAAAGGGAGCATTGCCTGGAAACATTTTCCCAAGACTCGGGCAACTTCCCAAGGCAGCTCACATTAAAGCCTGGAAAACTAAACCAAACAAGATTTTGTCATCCCGAGTCCAGGGTTTACTCCCCTCCCTTTGTGGGCTATAAAACCAATTCTTACAGCGATTTCTGAGTCACCAGTTGCAGGAAGGTACTGATTGAATTTAGCACTGGGAGGGGAGGGAGAAAGGTACTCTGGAGTGAAGTGAAGTTAGAGGTTGCTCTCCAGGACTCCTCCTGTTCCGGTTGTAACGGGTAGGCTGAGTTTCTAACAGTCTCCCGAGGGCCCACCAGTAGCTCAACTCAGCAAGTATTTGATTAATCAGGGCAGGGCAGGAGAAAGCGAATCTACTGCTGCTGTTTGTCTGTGTGAACGTACCCCAGCCACAAACGCGGAGCTGTTAGAAAACGCGGAGATTACACTGAAGTTACTTACAAACTTTCTACCTCGGTTTAGGTCTCCAGGCTCAGGACAGGGTGAGATTCCAAGGCGCGCTGGCGCAGCCCACAAGCGACCTTGGAAGTCTGATGCCCAGCCTTCGGCGTGCCCATTCTCCCTCCTCCTTTCCAGCTCCGCCTTCTGCATCCATCCGGCTTCACCCCGCCTTCGCTGGGGCTGGGTGAAAACTGGATTTGCCAGAATCCTGTTGATTTTCGTCTACACAGTCCTCAAATTGTAAGAGCTCACTAGAGATCAGGTTTCACCGCGCCTTCTGCACCAAAAAGCCCTAGACCCATGCCGCCCGGGTACAAAAATCCCTGGATCCCGCAGCTGAATTTTTCTGGATCCAACCACGTTTGCCCCCGCTCCTTCAAATTCTAATGTGGGAAGTGCGGACACATGTAGCCGCTCCTCTGACCCCAAAGCCGTTCAGTCCCAGTGAATCCTGGCACGTCAGTGCCACCAATCCTTGGATTTGGCATCTGGGTCCCGCGCGATCCAGACAATTTTTGGCTCTCACCTTGCAAATTGTACTTCTTAGACAGAAGGCGAGACACCTCACTGCATCCTAGCGCAACAGTGGAGGAAAAAGCCGGAGCTAGCGCCCAGGATCCTGCCAGGTTGGGGCCCTACCTCCCTCCCCCCCAAATTTCGCTGCCTAAATAGAGAACGTCTTGAGCTGTTCTTACCGCTCCCTGAAAATCTGGGTCCTGAAACAGTGGCAGATAATCCCTTGTTCCCTGTCCTTCTTTTCCTTATCTTCGCCAATCGTCCTGTCGGGGTCCTCCAACGCTTTCCTCTCTAACCATTCTACACTTTGTCCCTGCCTCTTCTTACCAGATATTCTTGCCCTACCAAATAAAACACAAATTTAGGCGCTCCCTTTACACCAAAAATAAATAAAAATAAATCTAAACCCCAAAGTCTGCCTCTTCCGGTCCCAAACCGACATCCAAGAAACTACTCCTGCCCCGCTGCCTGCCAAGTACCCTCCCTACATCCGACAACATGCCTCGCCCCAATTGCACGTTCAATTCCGATCTCCCTCACCTAACCCGCTGCCAGCCAAACCTGTCTCCTTCCTGCTGACAAATAGCACTTCTCCAGCCCTGTCTCTACTAACGTAACAATCACGATCAAAGTCTGCCCTGATCTGGCCCCTTTTAGCTATCGCAATTCTGACAAAGCTGACCCACCTTGGAGATGCATTCAGAACACTAGCTCTGGATTGTGTTCACACTAGTACTGTGGATTATTTTGTTGGTATTTGGGAAATTACTGACATTGGACTGGCATCCGATGAAGTGAGCTGTAGCTCAGGAAAGCTCATGCTCAGATAAATTGGTTAGTCTCTAAGGTGCCACAAGTACTCCTTTTCTTTTTGCGAATACAGACTAACACGGCTGTTACTCTGAAACCTGACATTGATACAAAACGTTATTCGCCTCTCGCCTTTGATTTGGTGTGGATTCTACAGAGCACAAGGTCGTCCGCGCTGAGCCCTGTGGCTGGCGGCAGATAAGAAATTGCCTGGTGGGATATAATTTTTTTCTCGTTTCGGGCTCGTTGTCACGCTTTAAAAATTACTCTCAGGGTGACATCTAGCGGTAGGAACATGAGTGGAGGCACATGACTGCTTTAATCAGCTACGGGTAGTGTTGTATGTACAGAGAACTGGCTCAGTCTTTATCTAAATCTTAAGGTCCAAAGGCGGTCATACTCCCATAGATATCAATGGCAAAACTCTCACTGGAAATTCTCAATTGACTAGTTTAGTGGTATCTGGGCTATATTTATTAAATTACTTATCACATGACTAATATTGTTTGGCTGGGGGTTGGGCAATCATACTATCTCATTGAAGCTGTTGGTTATGACAGACAACTTCCATTCAGGCTGAACAAGGGAACAATTAAGTGACCCTTTGTTTAGTGAAAGGCGAAACAATGGAAAACCACTACCAAAGGGCTAGACTGCTTGCAAACCTGGGCAGTGGCTAGACCATGCAGTCCAAGATGTGTCCTGGGTTTCTGTTGATAACCATCAGGGTAGAAGGGTGGATTTGATTGCAGCTGTATATAGGGGTGTCAAAGGGTATACCTGCTCTGTAGTACTCCCTTCTAGCCCAGCATGACTCAGGAGCACCGGCCTCAGTTTCCCTTTCACTCAGGGTACCTTAAAAAGTCCATGCAGGCCAGATATTCAAAACATTTTCCTTTCTGGAGTCCAATTTATTAAGTTCTACACAGTCTTTCAAAAAAACCCAAACAAACTTAAAAAGCCTTTATCTCCTTTTCAGCTAGGCCCAGCCCCTCCTCCCCAAGAACACAGCTTCCTTCTTCCCCCAACACCTCTAGCCTGAAGATTGGCCTTCTTTACAGGCCCTCCCTCCTGGTATCTTCTCCCTGCTGATTCAGGGTCCTTTAGGAACCTTCTTACTCCCTGCAGTGTCTGCAGGCAATTGCTAACAACTAGCAACAGCTGTCTCCCCCTTTACAAGGCCCAGGTGCCTTCCCGTAAGCCCTATTAGGCAGCAGGTAATCAGATTACTGTGGAAAATACTTTCCACAGTATGCATCCGATGAAGTGAGCTGTAGCTCATGAAAGCTTATGCTCAAATAAATTGGTTAGTCTCTAAGGTGCCACAAGTATTCCTTTTCTTGAAGTGAAGAAAGGAACTGTTTCCTGCTGTTTGATTCCTACTGAGGTCTGAGAAACAGGACTTCAGGTACAGGAATTATGAAGCCATACTAAAAATGTTTATTGCCCTTGTCTTCTGCTAATTTGCCTGGCTAGGGCTCTCTGGTAAACTACACTGTTTAGGAATGGCTTGCTATTTTCACCATATTTTAGCATCAGGGGTATCCAAAAGCATGAGGTGAGACCACCAACCCTAATCTGAGAGGTGGCAACTGTACCTCCCAATGTAGGAGGGGGGGTCCTTCATTCTTCATAGATCATGCAGTTCTTGGCCTCTCTCCTGAGTCTGCCAAATAGCGTGATGGGTGGTAGTGAGTTTGTGATAATGGGAGCTGGAATGGAGACCCACGAAACTCACTTTATATAGAGGCCATCAAACAGCCATTAGATTGGGGGGAAAAAACCCTTCCAATCACTGCATGAGCTTCATTGCATTCAGACTGGTGTATTCAGTGGTGCTAAGCTCTTTAGCAATGAGCTGAAGCATCCAGTTTCCCAATAGGTCAGAGGTGAGCAAACTATGGCCCAAGAGACCGTCCTGCCTGGCCCCTGAGCTCCTGACCAGGGAGGCTAGCCCCCGACCCCTCCCCTGCTGTTCCCCTTCCCCTGCAGCCATGCTGCCAGTGCTCTGGGCAGTGTGGTTGTGCGCTCCTGCAGGGCCCCGCGGCAGCATGTCTGGCTCTGGCCGGGTGGTGCGGCTGCCAGACATGCTGCTCTGAGTGGCATGGTAAGGGGCTTGCGGGGTTGGATAAGGGGCAGAGGGTCCCGGGGGGCAGTCAGGGGACAGGAAGCAGGGGGGGTTGGATAAGCATGGGAGTTCTGGGGGGCCTGTCGGGGGTGGGGGTATGAATAGGGGTTGAGACAGTCAGGGTCCCGGGGGGCAGCCAGGGGACAGGGAGGGGGGGGGGTTGGATAGGGGATAGGGTTCTGGGGGGCGGTTGGGGGTGGAGGTGTGGATAGGGGTTGGGGCAGTCAGGGGACAGGGGGTTTGGATGAGGGGTGGGGTCCTGGGGGGCGTTAAGGGGTGGGGGCCCTGGGAGGGGGCTATCAGAGGACAAGGAGCAGGGAGGGTTGGGTGGGTCAGGGAGTTCTCAGGGGGGCAGTCGGGGGTGGGAAGTGGGAGGGGGTTGGATGAAGGGGCAGGGGTCAGGCTGTTTGGGGAGGCACAGCCTTCCCTACCCGGCCCTCTGTACAGTTTTGCAACCCCGATGTGGCCCTTGGCCAAAAAGTTTACCCACCCCGATCTATACCATCCCTGACAGGTGTTTGTCCAACCTGCTTTTAAAAATCCCCAATGATGGAAATTCCACAACCTCCCTAGGCAATTTATTCCAGTGCTTAACCACCCTGACAGGAAGTTTTTCCGAATGTCCATCCTAAATCTCCCTTGCTGCAATTTAAACCCATCACTTCTTGTCCTATCCTCAGAGATTAAGAAGAACAATTTTTCTCCCTCCTCCTTGTAACAACCTTTTATGTACTTGAAAACTGTTATGTCCCCTCTGTCTTCTCTTCTCCAATCTAAACAAACCCAATTTTTTCAATCTTCCCTGGTCATGTTTTCTACACCTTTAATCTAAATAGGTCATGTTTTCTACATCTTTAATCATGTTTGTTGCTCTTTTCTGGACTTTCTCCAATTTGTCCACATCTTTCCAGAAATGTGGTGCCCAGAACTGGACACAATACTCCAGCTGAGGCCTAATCAGCACAGAGTACAGTGGAAGAATTACTTCTCGTGTCTTGCTTACAATACTCCTGCTAATACATCCCAGAATGATGTTTGCTTTTTTTGCAACAGCTGACTCATATTTAGCTTGTGATCCACTATGACCCCCTTTCCACAGTACTCCTTCCTAGGCAGTCATTTCCCGTTTTGTATGTGTGCAACTGATTGTTCCTTCCTAAGTGGAGTACTTTGCATTTGTCCTTATTGAATTTCATTCTATTTACTTCAGACCATTTCTCCAGTTTGTCCAGATCATTTTGAATTTTAATCCTATCCTCAAAGCATGTGCAACCCCTCCCAGCTTGGTATTATCCACAAACTTTATAACTGTACTCTCTATGCCATTATCTAAATCATTTATGAAGATATTGAACAGAACTAGCCCCAGAACCGATCCCTGCAGGACCCCACTCGTTATGCCCTTCCAGCATGACTGTGAACCACTGATAACTACTCTCTGGGAATGATTTTCCAACCAGTTATGCACCCACCTTATACTAGCTCCATCTAGATTGCATTTCCCTAGTTTGTTTATGAGCAGGTCATGCAAAACAGTATTAAAAGCCTTACTAAAGTCAAGATATACCACATCTACTGATTTTCCCTATCCACAAGGCTTGTTAGCTTTCTTTGACAGGGTATCAGGTTGGTTTGACATGATTTGTTTTTGACAAATCCATGCTGATTGTTATTTATCACCGTGTTATCTTCTAGGTGTTTGCAAATTGATTGCTTAATTATTTGCTCCATTATCTTTCCAAGTACAGAAATTAAGCTGATTGGTCTGTAATTGCCTGGGTTGTCCTTATTTCCCTTTTTTATAGTCTTCTGGAATGTCTCCCGTCTTCCATGACTTTTCAAAGATAATTGCTAATGGCTCGGATATCTCCTCAGTCATCTCCTTGAGTATTCGAGGATGCATTTCATCAGGCCCTGGTGATTTGAAGATATTTAACTTGTCTAAGTAATTTTTGACTTGTTCTTTCCCTATTTTAGCCTCTGATCCTACCTCATTTTCACTGGAATTTACTATGTTAGACGTCCAATTGCCACCAACCTTCTTGGTGAAAACCGAAACAAAGAAGTCATTAAGCACTTCTGCCATTTCCACATTTTCTGTTATTGTCTTTCCCCCCTCATTGAGTAACGGGCCTACTCTGTCCTTGGTCTTCCTCTTGCTTCTAATGTATTTGTAGACTGTTTTCTTGTTTCCTTTTATGTCTCTGGCTAGTTTGATCTCGTTTTGTGCCTTGGCCTTTCTAATTTTGTCCCTACATACTTGTGTTACTTGTTTATATTCATCCTTTGTAATTTGACCGAGTTTCTACTTTTTGTAGGATTCTTTTTTGAGTTTTAGATAATTTAAGATCTCCTGGTTAAGCGAGCATGGTCTCTTGCGATACTTCCTAGCTTTCCTATGTAATGTGATAGTTTGCTCTTGTGTCCTTAATGTCTCTTTGAAAAACTGCCAACTGTCTTCAATTGTTTTTCACCTTAGACTTGCTTCCCATGGGATTTTTACCTACCAACTCTCTGAGTTTGCTGAAGTCTGTCCTCTTGAAATCCATTGTCTTTATTGTGCTGTTCTCCCTCCTACCATTCCTTAGACTCATGAACTCTACCATTTCATGATCACATTCACCGAAGTTGCCTTCCACCCAAGTTGCCTTCCACTTTCAAATTCTCAACCAGTTCCTCCCTATTTGTCAAAATCAAATCTAGAACAGCCT